GCCACCAGCACTTCTGGCCCCATATGTTCCTCAGGGACAGTAGGCTACCTGCAGGGAAACTGCTGTCTCCTGCATGATAATGCTGGTGAAGGAAGCTTTCCTAAGGCGTGAAACACTTCTCAGATATTTATTTTTGTGGTTGTTTTGTCTAGAGCTTAACTGCCTCGGACCCCAGAAAACCTGTCCATGGGACCCAGCACTGTTTTCTTGAAGGGGACTCTTGTTGGATCCCCACCTCTCCCTCCTTAGTTAGACCTTGTCCCTGAGCAGGCTGAGGCATGGCCTGGGCTCTGCAGGGAGGAGAGGCTATTGATGGGGCTGTCACGCAGCCTGGCTTCCAGACTTGGGGAAGAGGAGCCAGGAGGCAAGGCTCGTGCGCCTTTTGTGCCACCGGGTGCCACCCGCCTACCCACCGCCTGCCTGCTGCAGGGCCTGGAGCCGCCGCTGGGAGAGGAAGTGCAGTCGGTTACCAATTGGGCTATTTTCATAACGGCTGTCACAGGCTAGGGGGAGGAGGGTGGCGAGGGGGAGGGGGCAGAGAAGCAGCCACTGCAGCTCGAGCTCCAAACTAGGACTTGCTCAGCGGAGGCCGGTGGCCCAGAGCCGGAGCCGGAGCCAGAGCCGCCCGGAGACCCCAGCCCCCACCTGCTTGCCCACCTCCCGCCTGCCACCCTGCCTTCCAGATCAGGTCAACGGGGCTCCCCTGACCCTTCCTTGCCTTCTGATCCCTCCCTTCTGTATTATCTGGGTGGGTCTGGAAGGGGTGGATCCGCACAGGCCCAGGCACCACTGTTCCTAGAGGAGGGACTTACCCTGTCAGGTCCCCAAAGCTGATGGAGAAGGAGAAGGTCTGGTGAAGCTCACACTCCTGCCCAAGCCAGGGTGGGCCCTGGAAGGTAAACGTCCTACTGGCCTGGGCCTCTCTTACTGTCCAGCCCTGGCCCCCTGGATCCCTGTGTGTGTTTGTGTTCCTTGTTTTGTTTTCTGCGGGGTCCTTTTAGTGAATGGAGGCCTGGGGAAGTCAGGACCCTGCCTCTCCCACTCCTGGGGATGTGCGGGCTCCCTTCCAGCTCTCCCACCTCCTCCGCTCCTACCAGGGCTGTGGGAGCCGAGCAGCCAGATGTGGCTTCTGGCCAGCAGCCCCCTGGGGAGGCAGCTGCAGGTCCTTTCTCTGGGGCTGCTGGAATAGGAGCATCATGCTCCATGCCTGGCTTCGCTGAGCAGGGGACTAGGGGCCCTGGCCACAGCATGGAATGGCCACTTTAGCTGGATCCCACCGAGTTCCTGTGCCAGTTCCTCTGGAGGCAGAGGAGGCCCCAGGGATCAGCCTGATGCCAGAGCCAAGGGCACTCTTCACAGCACGAGCAGACGCCCAGGTGGCACAGGCTGCCAGGTTCTGTTCCTCATGTGGTGAGTGGTAGCCACCCAGGCATGCCTGCTTCCCATTCTGGGATTCCACCCCCGCTGTGGACAGGAGACCCTATGAGGTGGCACAACCACAGGCTCTTGGTCTGTTTGGATGTGGGCCCCGCCATGCCCCTGCTCTGCCAGGTATCGTCTGGTACCTTATGTTCACCATTGCTTCAGAGCCACCCTGGGCCAACCTTGGGAACTAGGTGGCATGATCTCCATTTTACAGATGAGAAAATGGAGAATCAGACTAGTCAGCCACTCTAGGGTAGCAGTGGCAGATGCAGGGTTCCAATGTGCTTGGTCCTTCTCACTTGCTGCTGGCGTTAGGAGGTGGGCTTTCCGGAGGCCGGGATCCTCCCTGGCTGGAAGCTGAAGCACTGGGCCCCCCACCCCCGACCTCACTGCGCCTGCCTCAGCGCCACCGTTGCAGCCTCAGTCATCTTGAGCGCATGGTCAGACACCACTGCACCTGTCCCCAGGCGTCCTTGTGTTCCCACTGGCCTCCCGTCGTCAGGGCAGGGCTGGAGGTGGACAGGGGGCCCCATGAACCCTTTCCCTTCTTGTCTCCTTGGATGTGGCAGGTTTCTTCCAGGGTCCGGCAGGAAGCCAAGGGGCAGTCACTTTGCTGTGCTCTCAGTGTCAGAACCCTGTGGGGCTTCCTGCAGTGACCTTTACGTGTCCTGTGTGGTGTGTCTGAGGTGAGAAGAAGCTGCTGCTGGGGGCTGCGCCATGGGAGAGGCTCAGGCCCAGGCAGGGTTTCCAACAGGTCCAGGCTGGGCTTCTGGTGAGACCCAGAAGAAGCCTCTGCAGAGATAGGAAGTAAGGAGTCAGGCGACTGCTGACCAGAGGACAGAGGTTTCTATGGAGACCAGAGGAACAGGAAGCATGGGACCTGGGGGAGGGGAGAGTGGGAGCCCAGAGGTGTGGGTGCCTAGCAGGAGAGCTTGTCATAAACCCTGAGCCAGTCTCATGGTCTCCTCGGACAGACAGGGAAACTGAGGCTTGTGGCACGTGGTCGCGCAGTGCCGGCGCTGCCTGGCCTGCCTGGAGCCCCTCTTAGGCCTGCACCACTGGGTAGCTGAGGACTCTGCACACATGGGACCTGGCCTCCTGGCAGCATGTGGGGCTGGGTTCTTTAGGAGCACCTGTAAACTGTCTCCATGTTGTGATGGGGGTTCAGGCCACCTCTGCCTCCTGGCCTCCTGGCCCCTGTCATTAGTACAGGTCTGGGACAGCGAGCAGGGCTGGCCCTTACCACCACCCAGGGAGCACAGCAGCACCTCCCCCACCCACACTGTGGCCTTTTGTTTTCTGGGTGACACTAGCATCAGGCGGTGTGTCCGGGTGACTAATCTGCTCCAGGCTGGGCAGCTGTCACAGGGCAGCCTGGGCAGATGGGTGGGGAAAGCTGACACCCTGGGGAGTGCCGGCAAGCCAGTGTCCTGGCAGCGGTGGTGGCTAGGCCTTCAGGAGCCTTCCCAGGACACAAAGCAGACCCCAGATCAGGCAGACCTGGGCACAGGTCCCAGCTCTGCCGCTGGCTGACTGGGTGACCGTGGGCATGTTACTGCACCTCTTCAAGCCATTTCCCTCATCTTGCGAAGGAGCTGCTGGTCCTGCTTCCTTCCCGGGGCTGCAGTAGGAATCAGATGAGGCAAGGGCTTACCCAGAGCCTGTCACTGTCACAGGACCAGAGCACATAGAATAGCTAGTATATCATTCCCTTCCTAACCCCTGAGTCCCCACCTCAGGGGCCAAGAGGAAAGACCCGATGCTTGTCCATCTGGGGTGCAGGGCTCACCCCCGGGTAGCGTAGGCTCCCACACTGGCTGCACGGGGATTGGCTGTGGACTTCGGGCGGCACCTCTCTGCACCGAGTTTCCTCGGCAGGAATACAGCACACAGTACCATTCCTCAGGGTTGCTGTGCTTTATAACATATGTGTGTCGAGGGCGCAGCACAGTGGGCAAGTGAGAGTTAGCTGAGATGATGCCAGTTTTAGGAAATCAGGGACACTGTGCCCAGGCCTGCTCTCCTATCCCTGGGCTCACCTCCTGCTCGGTCCATCTGGTTTGAGGGGACCGCCTTTGGGGGTGAGAGCTCTGTTTTGCACCCGCCTGTCTTGAACACTGCTTCTTCAGGCACAGCAGCCTCGCTCTCTGATGGCGCCGGAGCTCATAGCCTTCTGCCCACTGGCCCTCTGCTATCACCCTGCATAGGTCGTGAAGCTGCCTGCGAGACCACAGGGCAGCAACAGGGCAAGGACTGGGAGGCACTAGGGGTGCAGCCATCCTCTCTGGCCCTGCTCCCTCCTGCCCACCGCTGGTCTAGGGCACACCCCCATATCCGACTTCAGCCAGACCCTCGGTGGGCAGAAGTCTTTTCTCCTGTCAGCCTAGGCAACATCATTTCATGGCTGTGACTTGCACTCTGTGGCTACTGGGGACTAGGCTGTCCTACCCCCATGGACTTCTCCCCAGGCTCAGGGCCCAGGGCCCAGAAGATAGGGGTGCTCTGGAAGCATCACCACCCTGAGCTGTACCAACTTCACACCCTCCTCAAAAGTTAGGAGGCTGGGTATGGTGGTGCACACCTGTACTACAGCACCTGAGGAGGCTGAAGCAGGAGGATCACAAGTTCAAGGCTAGCCTTAGCAACTTAGGTGGACCCTGTCCCAAAATAGAAAATAAAAAGGCTGGGGATGTGGCTCTGTGGTTAAATACCCCTAGATTCAATCCTTGGTGCCCTCCCCCCCCCCAAAAAAAAAAAGAAGTGTGGGCACAAGAACCGGCTGCCAGTGGCCTGAGGAGGAGGGCTGACAAAAGGAGCCCAGCTCAGAACAGCATGAGTGTGGCCGTGGGGTGCAGGATTGTGTCAGGAGCCTCTGCCTCCTTGCAGGAGGGAGCTCTGGGAAGCTGGTGCTTGGAATTGTGGGTCGTGGGGCTTCTAGAGCAGGCTTCCTCGGCAGCAGTACTGGCAGGGTTTCCAGGCATGGCGCATGGAGTGTCGTATCTGCCCCTTCAGAAAGGCGGAGATAGAGTCATTGGGAACAAGAAAGTTCTTAGAGACAAAGGTGTGCACACATGTCGGTCCAGGAGGCTTTTCTTTTGGCCCAAGCCTCTTACTTCCAACCCCTGAGTGAAGACAGTGTGGCTTTCCCTGAGGGGCTGACATTCCTGTTTTCTAAGGCCTCATTTCCCCAGCGTCTCTGATTCCTGAACCAGAGTCATAGGTCTGTGTTCCTAGGTGCCACCCTCACTTGGGCTGACCCCAGGGCTGGGGTTAAGAGTTCTGGGGTCTTATCAGGACTGAATTCCTTTGCGGGGTGCCTTGTGTTATAATCATTGCTTGATTTGGGCCCTGTTCCAGCAGGGGACCCAGCCTGTTCCACATTCAGGGCAAAGCAAAGGCTGGCTGTGTGTGGTGGTGCGTACCTGTAGCTTCCCCAGTTCAGGAAGCTGAGGCAGGAGGATGGCAAGTTTGAGGCCAATGTGGACAACTCAGCAAGACCCTGTCTCAAAAAATGTAAAGGGCTGGGGATGTGGCTCAGTGGTCGAGCACCTCTGGTTCCGTCCCCAGTACTGGAAAAAACAGATAGAAAAGGCCAAAAAAGGCTGCTCAAGAAGGAAAGGCCCCGGGCCCCACAGCCTGCCTGTGCCCGCTCAGACTCCCAGTTTTTCTTTTCTTTTCCACCACCTTCTGGCAAAGGGATGAGGCCCTTTAGGTCCTGGGCTTTATGGATTCTGGTGCCTGGGCAGTGGAAGCCCCTTTTCCCTAGGACTTCAGAGACAGTCTGGGGTACAGCTGGGGAGAACGTCCTTGCCCCAGTAGCTGTAAACATGGGTTCCTCTGTGTACCCTCCCTGTACCCTCAAACACTCTACTCATGGAAGCCAAAGGCCAAGGTTATCCTTACCCTTAACTCCAGTGTCCCTTCTCTGTTCATGGGGCATGGGCTGTGAAAGGGCTCCTGGGCACAGACTGGCCACAGCCTGGCTGAGTTCCTGATGTTCCTGGTCTCTGTGCTCAACAGCCACCAGCCTGCCCCTCGCATGGAGACCTTCTTTAGGAGACATTTCCAGCGGAAGGCATCAGGCCCTGGAGCAGGGCAGCGGCGGCCCAGCGGTGTGGGGCTGCTCACGGGCAAGGCCCGGCGTCGCTCCCCTGCAGGGCAGGCCTCCTCCATGCTGGCCCAGCGGAGGCGCTCCAGTGCACAGCCCCAGGGCTGCCTCCTGGGCTGCGGGGTGGGCACCCAGGGAACCAGCCGCCGTCGCTCCAGCACCGCGCCCCCTGCCTGCAATCCCCGCTTTGTTGTGGAATCCGTGCCCACCCCTCCGCCTGCCACCGTTGGGGCTCAGCTTCTGGGTGCACCTCTGCTCTTGGCTGGGCTTGTGGGCATGAAAGAGGAGGAGGAGGGTGTCCAGGAGGAGAATGTGACTGCCGGGGCATCAAGTGCCACCCAGCCGGGCACCAGGACACCTCCCAACACTGCAGGCACCCGGCTGCTGCCAACCCTGCCCCGATGCCTGCGTCGAGCCTCCTCCCACCTGCTCCCTGCTGATGTGGTGTATGATCATGCCCTCTGGGGCCTGCATGGCCACTATCGTCGCCTCAGCCAACAGCGGCCCTCTGGCCAGCACCCTGGCCCTGGGGGCCGAAGAGCCTCAGGCACCATGGTGGGCGCCATGATCCCTGCCCGGGTGCGCCCGCTGACCCGCAGGCGCCAGGTAGCCCTGCGGCGCAAGTCGGCAGGACCCCAGGCCTGGAGCACCCTGCTTGTGTAGGTATAGCTGCAGCAGGGGGGCCGTGCTGCAGCCTCTGAGGGGCTGGCTAGGGGTGCAGGCCTCAGAGCTCTGCCTGGCCCCTCTGGGCAGTGCCTGAAGCCAGCTCACCCAACAAAGCTATGAAAAGGGCTGAGATGCCCACAGGGAGCCTCAGTGCCTGGGCTGCTATGGGATCCTCTCCTTTCCCTCCTGTCCCAGTCTTGGCCTCGGTGGAGGCCACATGAGGGCAGAGATCCCAGGTGGCGGGAAGGAAGTAGAATCAGCAAGTGCACAACTGGCCCTAGAGCCTCAGCTGTCCCCCTTTTTGTAGGAAAGCTATCACCAAGTCGGGCCTCCAACACCTGGCACCCCCTCCCCCAACTCCTGGGGCCCTGTGTGGCGAGGCCGAGAGGCAGATCCGGAGCACTGTGGACTGGAGTGTGAGTAGCTGGGTACTGGGAGAGGCATGTACCTGAACACCACAGGCATCGGTCCCCCTGGGCTCTGGGACCTGGGAGCAGCCCAGGCCTAGAGATCCTCTGAGCAACTGAGAGAGGAGCCCTGGGCCAGTGGAGTTTGGCAGACTTCCTGGGGGTGGCTTCCCTTGAGCCAGACCTAAGTAGTAGTGAGTGGGAAAAACAGGAAAATAGATTGTGGTAACTGGAACAGGTTTGTCTTGTGAGATGGTGCTGCTGGTGGGCAGGGGAAGCTGCAGGTATGCACTGAGGATGTTCATCCCGTGGTCTAGGAGTCAGCAACATATGGGGAACACATCTGGTTTGAGACCAACGTGTCGGGGGACTTCTGCTATGTTGGGGAGCAGTACTGCGTAGCCAAGATGCTGGTGAGTGAGCACTGCAGGGCTTGCTGCCCCCTGGCGGTGAGGCAGGGTCTAGACGCCTGCCGGCCAACCTCTGCAGGTTCCCAAAGGTGAACACAAGCTCTCACCTGAGCAATCCTGCTTGGGCTGCCCAGGAGCGGGAGAAATGGGCTTTGCCCTGAGGCTGGATGCTGGGGCTTGAGATCCTGAAGCACAGAGAGCTGTGCTGGGGCAGGTGCAGAAAACTGCTTGCCCTGAGGCAGTGTCTGGGATGGAGTTACCTGGTGCCTCAGGGGCCCTCTCTTTCTGTCTTGCAGCAGAAATCTGTATCCAGGAGAAAATGTGCAGCCTGCAAGATTGTGGTGCACACCCCCTGCATTGAGCAGCTGGAGAAGGTGAGTGTGGCCGCTCAGCCTCCCTTTTGGGTGTGGAAGCACATACACTTGTATATCTGCATACAGATGTGTGCATTACACAAACATCACCTGGGTTACACAGCTTGTGTGGTAGTGAAGACTCAAGGACCCTGGAGCCAAAAATGCCTGCATTTGAATCCTGCCTCCCCCCATTTATTAGCTGTTGTACCCAGTGCCTTGAATACCTGGCATACAGTGGGGTTTGTTGTATATGACTCAACAGCATGAAGTGACAACGGTATTGTACCGTTCTATCTTGTCCCAGCTAACAAATAGAAGAGGCCATGGAATGTGCTAAAGCCTGCCCCTGTCCTCTACATTCTGCTTGTTCAGAGACCTTTCTCCCAAGGACCATTGGGCACCATGTGTCTGCCGCTGGGGGCATGTCTGGGCAGTGGTGGGGGGAAGGGAACACTGGCGAGTGGGCCCATCAAGGTAGGTGGGGTGGATGAGGCTCCCCAGCCTGCAGAAGCCAGGCCAGCACTCGGGAGAGTGTGTAGGACTAGGAGCGGCATGAGCAAGGCCCACGCGGCTGCTTCCCTTGGCCCAGGAATCGCAGAGCCTCCCTAGAGCCTCCCAAGAATTGCAGAGACTCTTCTGAGGCTGCAGCAGGGACAGTTAGGAAAAGAGGAGTAGAAACAGCCCTAGGCACTGCAGCCCCATTGACAAAGGTGGAAATTGAACCTGGGTTCACCCCATTAGCTAAGGGTCTCCAGGGACTGCTCAACAGAGCTGTGAGCAGCAGGATGGGGTTCCTGCATTCACCTAGGTCTGGAGTGCCAGAGGGTGGGAAGAGTAGAGAAATGAGTAAACCATGGTCCCTGTTTAGTAGGAGAGGGCATGAAATGCTCAGCCTCTTCATCCCAGAATCCTGGGCAGAGGAAGGAAAGATCCCTTCTGGTCAGTGGGCATGTTCCAAAGGTTACTGGGGTAATCTGGGGCTCCCGCTACCTTTGATGGTGACTCTGGATGACCACGTCGAAAGGAGATTCTGACATTTTGGTGGTCATTGCAATGTCTCACAGATAAATTTCCGCTGTAAGCCATCCTTCCGGGAATCTGGTTCCAGGAATGTCCGTGAGGTATGTGTGCACTGTGCTTAGGGTCAGGGAGGCCCCAGGTTCCTGAGGGATTTCTCTGCAGTGCTTCCAGAGTGCCACTAGGGGGCTCAGCTCCTTCTAGGCAGCTTGGGGTCTGGGCAGGTCCTGGGATGAGGCTCTGAGTCTCCCAAGGCCAGGCCTGACTGGCGCTGCCTGAGAGAGCTGGGCATCGCGTGCCTCTCTGTGCCTCCCAGCTCTCTCTTTCCCTCCTAAGAATCTCAGTCTTCCCTCCAGGCCACAGACAGAAGTCTTCACATGCAAGACTGCAGAGAGCCCCGTAGCCCCCAGCCCTCACCATGAGACATTGAGGGGCCTAGGCCGTGCTCAGGGTCAGCCCTAATGCACCCCTCCAGTGATATTTTTCTCCCCCCTCCTCCCCCAGCCAACCTTCGTACGGCACCACTGGGTGCACAGGCGACGCCAGGATGGCAAGTGTCGGCACTGTGGGAAGGTGAGGGTCCTGCCTAAGATTGCTATCTGCCTACTGCCCATGGACCCTGTGTGTTCAGCATGGCCTGGCCCCACCAGCTGTGGCCCCAGAGTGCAGACTCCCCAGCTGGCTCTAAGCCTGGCTGTGGCCACTTAGTCTGCAAACACCCTTGCCACACTCTTGGTCTCTGGGCTAAGGAAAGTTTCCTTCTAATGTGGTAGGTCTAGCCTGTTTTGAACTTGGGGGAGGGAATTCTTTGAGAACCATGTAGACTTTTTCATTCATTAACTCAGCAGATATTTATTGTGTAAATATTGCACGCCAAGCCCTGAGCTGGGCATCGGGTTCCTGCCCCCGAGGGGAACATGGCTGAAGACGGACTGCAGAGCATCTTCCCCAGCACAGCCCGCAGTTGTTTTGTTCACTTTCTTTTTGCCTCTTGTCTGTCTCCTTCAGCAAGTGCAGGCTCTCAGAGGTGTAGGGGCTCGTTCCTCCATTTAGGCTTTGTTAATGTTTTGTGGAGGGGAGAGGGAGTGAATGCCGTGGGTACCGCAGGAGGCTGTGCAGCACTTCGGGGGCCCAGCCAGCTCTGGAGGCAGGAAGGAGGGGAACCCAGAGTTGGGCAGTGGTTGGCCCTTAGATCCTCAAGAACACATGTGCACCCAGACTTTGCAGTTAGCTCTAGTCATGGGCCCCTAGCTAAGCATCCCTGCCCTTGAGGCTTATTGTGTATTTGGGGCTTTTTTCTTCTGCGCTAAGTTTCCCTGTGTGGAGAGAGGTTGGCAGCAGAAGTGGGTCAGGGGCTATGCTTTAGGTCACCCTGTGCCCCAGCCTCCTTGTCCACCCTCAGGGCTTCCAGCAGAAGTTTACCTTTCACAGCAAGGAGATCGTGGCCATCAGCTGCTCCTGGTGCAAGCAAGCGGTAAGAGGTGACCCCACCCCATGGGCCTATGCCACACAGTGCTGAGCTTGGGTCCCAGGACTCAGCCTGGCCCAGCTCAGCCTGGCCCGTCACTCCCCTCCAGTACCACAGCAAGGTCTCCTGCTTCATGCTGCAACAGATCGAGGAGCCCTGCTCCCTGGGGGTCCACGCAGCCGTGGTCATCCCACCCACCTGGATCCTCCGTGCTCGGAGGCCCCAGGTGAGTCCTTCCCACACCCTTGGCATCTCCCACACTCTTGCCAGACAAGCCAACTCGCCCTCCTGGTCACCAACACCCCATTTTCCTTGCAGAATACCCTCAAGGCCAGCAAGAAGAAAAAGAGAGCATCCTTTAAGAGGAAGTCCAGCAAGAAAGGGCCTGAGGTTAGATAAGGGGCTGGTGGGAGGGACGAGTTGGGGGCCAGAAAAGGGGAGTCTGTTTCTTGGGATCTGGAGCCCCTGAGCCTGATGTTGCCAGCTCAGCCTTCAGCAGGTCAGTTAGGGCCTACAGGCCTGATGAGGGCAGAAGATGGCTCCAGTTTTCCCCATGGCCAGGTTCCCCATGAAGTCTGACCTAGTTGGTACCTGAGGGTGTGGTGTGGGATGGGGTGTCATCCAGGGATCTGCTGCGGATGAGGGTAGGGTCTCCAGGGCAGGAAAGAGCCTCAGGAACTGTGTGTCTCCAAGGAGGGCCGCTGGAGACCCTTCATCATCAGGCCGACCCCTTCACCCCTCATGAAGCCCCTGCTGGTGTTTGTGAACCCCAAGAGTGGGGGCAACCAGGTGAGCACAGCTTTCCTCTAGAGAGATTTCCATAAGGGTTGGGGTCACTCCCATCTACCAGTTGTTCCAGCGTCCATTTCAGGCTTCCAACCCTGGCCCTCTACCTCAGGGATCCTAAGAAAAGCCATCTCTGTCCCTCACCCCTGCTGAGCCTGGTTCCACAGTCACATCCTTTTCCCTGTGCTTCTTTTCCCCACTTCACCCCGACTGCTTCCTCCTGTCCCCCTCATCCCTTCTACAACACTTGGCTCCCTGTCCCCCCAGGGCGCTAAGATCATCCAGTCCTTCCTCTGGTATCTCAATCCTCGACAAGTCTTTGACCTGAGCCAGGGAGGGCCCAAGGAGGCGTAAGTCCTTGCCCAGGTTCCGTGGGGAGTGGCAGGGGCTTGCCTGGCTCTGGGGCGTGGCACACATCCTGACTCCATTCTGTCCCCCCGCCCAGTCTGGAAATGTACCGCAAAGTGCACAACCTGCGGATCCTGGCGTGCGGGGGCGATGGCACGGTGGGTTCAGTGTGGTGGGTTCTCCCGGGGCCTGGATGGGGCCTGCGGTGCTGTCCCCTGCCAAGCCCAGACTTTTGGGACTTTGCCCTCTCCAGGTTGGCTGGATTCTCTCCACCCTGGACCAGCTGCGCTTAAAACCTCCGCCCCCTGTTGCCATCTTGCCTCTGGGGACTGGCAACGACTTGGCCCGCACCCTCAACTGGGGCGGGGTAAGCAACTCTGGGAGTGGGGAGTGGTCACGGGGGTCTCTAGCCACAGGAGAGGCTCAGTCCTTGCTTCCCTCCACCAGGGTTACACAGATGAGCCGGTATCAAAGATCCTCTCCCACGTAGAGGAGGGGAATGTGGTGCAGCTGGACCGCTGGGACCTCCGTGCAGAGCCCAACCCCGAGGCAGGGCCTGAGGAGCGAGATGAGGGGGCCACAGACCGGGTGAGTCAGCCAGGGCGGACAGGGTCTGTGGTGTCTGAGATTCTCAGCAGATGGGGGCTGGGCCCCACTCTTCCACTGTTGCCTCTGAAAACTTAAACGAGTCTCTTCAGTTCTCCCAACTTCAACTTCTGTCTCTGTCCCAGGGGAATAATGGTCCTCAGCTCACGAGATAGCTTTTGTATTCATCCACCTGGCAAATATTTCTCAAGGCCTTGTTACGTGCCCAGCACTGTTCTAAGCAGACAAGGCAGAGGCCCATGCCTGGAGCCCATGCTCTGTATGGTGTGTGGGGAGGTAGTGCTGTGGCATCCAGCAGGTGCTCATGGAAGCCTCCCGGGATCTGGGAGGGCAGGGCATGCCTTGTGACACAGTGCCAGGTGGGAAGCACTCAGGGAGGTTTCCCTGGACAGACAGCCTTTAGGAGCAGACAGAATGCTGAGCAAGTGTGAAGGCTGGACCAGGCTCGGGAAGGGGAGGCATTGGAGAGGCCCAGGTCTCTTTATGGTCCCTTGACCTTTTTCCAGCTGCCCCTGGATGTCTTCAACAACTACTTCAGCCTGGGTTTTGATGCCCACGTCACCCTGGAATTTCATGAGTCTCGAGGTTGGCAAAATTCTGAGGGCAACATGGGAGGTGGGAGCAGGGTGGGCGACAGGAGCATCTGGCTCCCCAGTAAAGCACACTCGCCCAGCCTCTCCCCACTTTAGCACCAGCAGGTTAACTGCCTGTCCCCCAATTTGTCTCTATCCAGAGGCCAACCCAGAAAAATTCAACAGTCGCTTTCGGAACAAGATGTTCTATGCCGGGGTGAGTCCAAGGTTGGCCAGCCCCCTACCTGCAATGCCCATCAGTGTCTGCCAGGCCACGGGAGCCCTGCTGCACGGAGGCAAGGGTGTTCCTTTCAGGAGATGGTGATACCCTCTGTCTCCCACAGACAGCTTTCTCTGACTTCCTGATGGGCAGCTCCAAGGACTTGGCCAAGCACATCCGAGTAGTGGTGAGCAGGGCTGAACCAGCAGGTGGAGTAGAGGGCCAAGCAGGGGAGGAGACCACCTGGGCACTCACATCCCCCGACGTTCCCCCCTGCCTCTCTACAGTGTGATGGAGTGGACCTGACCCCCAAGATCCAGGACCTGAAGCCCCAGTGCATTGTTTTCCTAAACATCCCCAGGTGAGGAGGTTGGGCTCTGGGTGGACCCTGCTCTCCTGTCCTGCAAAGACTGTGCCGAAGCCAGTCCATTGCCCTCCCTCAGGTACTGTGCTGGCACCATGCCCTGGGGCCACCCTGGGGAGCACCATGACTTCGAGCCCCAGCGGCATGACGACGGCTACCTCGAGGTCATTGGCTTCACCATGACATCACTGGTGAGTGGGCCTGGCTCTACCTGAACACTTCTCTGCCCACAGTTCCTGGGAGCATGGCCTGAAACTGGGGGTCACCCATGCTTCCCATGATTGGCCAGGGTTGAGGAGTTCACCTCACTTCCCTTCTCTGGCCCAGGGCTCACTGTCCCTTCTTCTCTCTGACTTGAGATGACTCTGAGCCTCTGTCCTCTTTCTGTCACTTGTCCTGATTGGGAAGTCACTCTCATTGCCTCCATCTCCTCCCTTCCCCTCTATTCTGCACTCTGTCTGGGGTCCCTGTCTCCTCTCTGCTCTCGTCAGAGCCTCTCTGGAAGGAGCAGAGCTCACCCCCTGCCTCCATCCCATCCTGGCACCACCTGACTGGAGCTTCCTGTACCCACAGGCAGCACTGCAGGTGGGTGGGCATGGCGAGCGGCTGACGCAGTGCCGAGAGGTGCTCCTCACCACGGCCAAGGCCATCCCGGTGCAGGTGGATGGCGAGCCCTGCAAGCTCGCAGCCTCACGCATTCGCATTGCCCTGCGCAACCAAGCCACCATGGTGCAGAAAGCCAAGCGGCGGAGTGCCACCCCTCTGCACAGCGAGTATGTCCCTGCCCTGCCACCATGCAACATGGGTCCTGAAGCCAGGCACAGGTCCTCATTTTTTTTTTTAGTTGTAGTTGGACACAATATGTTTATTTTATTTGCTTTTATGTGGTGCTGAGGATCGAACCCAGGGCCTCTTATGTGCTAGGCGAGTGCTCTACCGCTGGGCCACACCCCCAGCCCAATGGGCCCTCTTTTGATCTTTGGTTTCCCCACCTGTAAAAGGAGCTGGGAATGAGGCTCAGTGGTGGGATGTTTGCCTACCATGTACCAGGCCCTGGGTTTGATTTCCCAAAACCCACAAAAGGGGAGATCTAATAGTCCTTCTGCCCCAGGGAGCTGGGCAGGACATCCCTCCCAGCGCTTGGTTTGGTGCCTGGACCAGGGCTGGTACCCTGGGCAGGGCCCTTGCCGAGTCCCCTCTCACCAGCCCTGCCCCACAGCCAGCAGCCAGTACCAGAACAGCTGCGGATCCAGGTGAGCAGGGTCAGCATGCATGACTACGAGGCCCTGCACTACGACAAGGAACAGCTCAAGGAGGCCTGTGAGTGCCAGCAGGGCTGGGGACAGGGAGGGGTGAGGAGCTGCCAGGTCCCCTGGGGATGGACAGTGGGGACAGCCAACTGTTGATGGGCTGTTCTGTCCTCCAGCTGTGCCACTGGGCACCGTAGTGGTCCCTGGAGACAGTGACCTAGAGCTCTGCCGTGCCCACATTGAGAGGCTCCAGCAGGTAAGGAGGTACCACCTGCCCTGCGCTCCCCTCCCTCCCTACCCCAGCTCTGTTCCACCTTGACACTTGCTTCTTTCTCAACAGGAGCCTGATGGTGCTGGAGCCAAGTCCCCAACGTGCCAGAAACTGTCCTCCAAGTGGTGTTTCCTGGATGGTGAGTATGCCCTGAAGGGTCCGCTCCTAGCAGTACCACATTTGCTCTTATCTCTTGCCTGAGGGAGCCTGGGTTGGGCCCAGAGGACCTGGAGAAGGACCTCCCTTATCCTCAACATCTGTCTCTCCACAGCCACCACTGCCAGCCGCTTCTACAGGATCGATCGGGCCCAGGTGAGCCCTGCAGGCCTGCTCCGCTGCAGCTGGTCTCTGTACCACACGCCCCTCTCTCCAGGGAAGCCTTTCCTGTCAGTTCCACAGGCATACTGGCCTCTGTTCTCATGTCCCCTAGTCCACTTTCATGAGGCCATGACCAGGTGTGGGTGGCCCTATCCTCTAGGCTAGCGTGCATTGGAATGGTGCCAACAGAGAAGGGAGCTGGTGCACACAGGAAAGGTTTGCTGGCTGGCCTTGGAGCACAGAGCAGTCCAAAGAGATGGAAGAGAGTGGCCAGGGCCGGGCTACCTGGCTAGAGGACTGGCTGTGGGAAGTGGCTGTGGGCCTAGTGGGACTAGGTTTGGACGGCAGGGATGGAAAGGAGGCAGGGGGAAGATTGGCCGTCCCCAGCCTCCCTTTGCTGTTTATGCTTATATCAGAGGCTTCTCCAGGTTTGCTGCCCCTCAGCCTCCACCATCAGGTACCTGGAAGGCTAGGTGCCTTGGCCCTGACCCTGAGCTTTGACCTTCCCACCCACAGGAGCACCTCAACTATGTGACCGAGATCGCACAGGACGAGATTTATATCCTGGACCCTGAGCTGCTGGGGGCATCGGCCCGGCCTGACCTCCCAACCCCTACTTCCCCTCTCCCCAATTCCCCCTGCTCCCCTACGCCCCGGTGAGTGGCAAGGCCCCATCGCCTCCATTTCCCTTGCTTCGAATCTGTCTTCAGGCTGGCAGCTTCCAAATTCTTGCCTTCAGCCCCAGCTCCTCCAAGAGCAAGCACCAGTGCATATACCAGCTAGCTGCCTGCCCAGCCCCCTACCTGGTGACAAAATGGCATCAATCTGAACTTGGCCAGAGCCCAACTTGGAGCCCTCAGCCTCACAATTGTGGCCTCTCCCAGAGAACAGCCTCATATCTACCCTGCTGCTCAGGCTCCCTCCTTGCTGCCTCAGCCCCTACCCATACCTGGCCTTCAGCAGGTCCCACAGTGCTCCCCCGCCACGGGAGCACTCCTTCTCGCCTCAGTGCCTGGCCCCCAGCTCTATGCCCCATGCCCTCTGGTGGCCCAGTCTCGTCTCGGGCTAAGATGCAGATCGCTACAAGCACTCCCCAGCCTAGAACCTTTCTTAGCATCCCCCAGTCATGGACCCTCCTGGGCCCCACTGCCTGGCTGCCCAGCAGCCTCCCCTGTCCCCCACCACAGTCCAGCCGCACTTGCTTCTTAGTGGCCTGAGGCTGGCCCAGCTTTGGACTTTTGTCCTTGCTGCCACACACTTGCTTTCTTCCCAGAACACCTGCCCCAATTTCAGTGTCAGCTTGGCTCTTGCCCCTCAGAGAGGTCTTTCCCAGGAATGCCATCTAAAGGCACCACTGTCCCTAAGGTGCTGCGGTCCCCCTGGCCACTCAGTCACATGACCCTGTCTGTATCGATAGCACTTCAAATTTCTTATTTATTGCTCGACTCGTGTGTGTCCCTACACTAGAATGTGAGCTCCGTGAGGGCAAGTTCTCCATCTGTCTTATTCCCTGCTGTATCCCTTGTGCCTAGACTAGCGCATGACATGCAGTAGGCACTCAATAAACTGTTGAAAGAATAAAGGACGCCACCCACTGGGCTAGGGAGGGCAGCCAGTTGGGCCTGGCTGAGCTGGGTCACATTTCATCCTGCTCTGTTTGTAGGTCACTGCAAGGGGACTCTGCACCCCCTCAAGGTGAGGCCTTTTCTCCCAGGGTCCCTCCCCTCTCCCCGGTCATAAGTGTGAGGCTCTGTGGGGGTGAGGCCCATAGCACCACACAAGGACAGCCTGAGCCCTACATGGTGACGTTTTTCCACAAGCCCAGCCCTCAGCAGCCTGGTCCTAGCAGGAGTGCCATTCTGTACAGTGATGCACACACGTGTACACAGTGATGAAACACGAGTGCAGCACCTACACGAGCCTGAGCCTCAGACCTTAGAGTTTAACTGGCAGTGTTTTGTGCAGGTGAGGAGTTAATTGAGGCCGCCAAGAGGAACGACTTCTGTAAGGTACTAGCTCCGGGAAGCAGCCTATCCCCTGCAGGCCCTAGGGAGTGGGGCATCTGGATTGGGGCCAGAGCTGACCTGTTCAGGAACTGACACCTGTGACATCTGGCTTTGGTGGGTCTCTGCAGCAATTGTCCCATCCCGTCTTTCCCCATGTGTCTAGACCACAATAGATGTCTCCCAATACGGGCTTCCTTGCCCAGTCCTCCAGTCCCTGGTGCTTAGGGGCAAGTTTTAGGGGAGCAACAGGCTCCAAGGCTTGGTGGTTAATATTCCTGAGGTGAGAGAAGCCCACTGAATCTCCCCTTAACACTCCAGAGACCCCCAGGGATGCCTAGGGAGTAATGCATGTGAGCCAGTTCTGGCTTACGAACCTGTGGGCCTGTGTGAGACTGGGAGAGAAGGCCCCCAGGAGCCCCAGACCTGCTCTGCCTCCTGCCCTCAGCTGCAGGAGCTGCATCGAGCAGGAGGCGACCTCATGCACCGGGACGAGCGGAGTCGCACGCTCCTGCACCACGCGGTCAGCACTGGCAGCAAGGAAGTGGTCCGCTACCTGCTGGACCACGGTGAGCTGTGCTCCTGGGGCCAGGTGGGAGGAGGGGAGGATGCCAAGCCTCTGACCATACCCTTCCCCCTGCAGCACCTCCAGACATCCTTGATGCTGTGGAGGAGAAGTAAGTACCTGGGAGCTCAGGTCCCTGGCTGGCCTTGGAAACCAGCCTTCTCCATACCTTCCCATTTGGTCAGTCAGAGCCCATGAACCTTTGCTGACCAGCCTGTTGTCCTCTGGGCTGCCCCTTCCCTCTGGTCCCCAAACTTCCTGCCCTTTCTGATGGCACTTGGGAGAAGGCCTGAAAAAGGACTAGAGGAGGTCCACAGCCAGCCTCTGCTCCCCCAGCGGGGAGACCTGTCTGCACCAGGCAGCGGCTCTGGGCCAGCGCACCATTTGCCACTACATCGTGGAAGCTGGTGCCTCACTCATGAAGACGGACCAGCAGGTGAGCAGACCAGCAGGGCACAAAACCAGCCATCCCCAGATGTGGGGGTGGGGACTGCCCTTGTGAATTTGAAGCTGTCCTTCCCCTGACAAAGTCCAGATCCTGAGAAACCCGAGCCAGCAGGGGAGGAGGCAAGGCAGAGGAAAAGACTCTGCCCTTTCCTAAACGGGTGGGGACCTTAGCCTGTGGCCCCTGCACTGATTGCAGCTACCCCAAATCCAGGGTGACACTCCCCGGCAGCGGGCTGAGAAGGCTCAGGACACAGAGCTGGCTGCCTACCTGGAGAACCGACAGCACTACCAGATGATCCAGCGGGAGGACCAGGAGACGGCTGTGTAGTTGGGGCAGCTCGAGGGACTGTAGCCAAAGGATGAGCTCCTGCCCTGCCCACCTCACTGCCACATTCCAGTCAGATGGCCACGGGGGGACCCATGACCCAGGGAAGGAGCCCTGTGCCATCCTTGAGAAGCCACCCAGACCTAGGGCTGGACTCTGAGGAGCTGGGGCTCTTACCTGTCCCCCTGAGGTCCCCAGTCTGACCCCTAGGCTCACAGGGGATCAGGAGGCTCACAGGGGATCAGGAAACCGGCTGGGCTGGACAGGCCTTTGGGAGACTGGAGCTGGGCGGCTTCAGGGCAGCCCCACCCTCACTGCAACAGATGTGCTCCGCAGCGGCTGGACAAGGGCCGGGCAGAGTGGCCGAGGCACAGTCAGGGAGGCCTTCAGGAAGAGGCTTCGCAAACCACCTGGACTTTAGGACCCGCCCCAGGTTCCTGGGAGCTTAGACCCTCTCCTGCCCTGACACCCCTCCGGGCTCGACCCGGAAACCCAAGAGCCGGCTGCACTCGCCTGCCCGCTGCCCTGCTTGGCACCTACCCCGTGACCCTCCCGTGTACCAGTCATTTCATCGAGGGCTGTGTGGCCTGGGGGGTGGGGGGTTCTCTCGGTGACATGTTTACAGCTGGGTGTGAGTAAAGTGGATTTTTTTTTTCCCTTTTCTGTTTTTCTCTCTTTGCTGGGGAGGCCTTCCGGAAGCCGCAGCGCCTGCTGAGTTCCCCTCGGGGTGGGGGACTGGACACTGTCGACCCGGACCCTCCCTGGAGGCCCGGGCTCCCCCCGGGGGTGGGCCTGCCCGGCTCCTGACCTCTGCCCGGCCTCGCTCGTCGGGCCGGGGGCGGAGTCGGTTTCTTCGGCTTCCCGCTTCCCGCTGGGGCGACAACAATGAAAGTGAAAGGGGGGGAGCTGGCCGGGGTCCGCCGGCCCGTCGCCCCGCGGCCTTGGGCTAGCACCCTCCCCAGGCCTGTTTCGGGGGTCGGGTGAGGTGAGCCCCGCGGCCCGGGCTGGAGGGGGTGGGCGTCTCCCGCCGCCGCCACGGTCTGTCTGGAACTTCTCAGACGGCTCTTGTCAGCCCCAAGTGCCACCAGACCGAGCCTGCGGGCTCCTCCGCCCGCCCCCTCCAACCAGCAACCCGGGGAGGCGCCGGCGCCCTCCGCGCCCCAGCCCGTGCGCCCTCTCGTCCCGGCTCCGGGCTCTCCGCCGCAGGGCCGTTACCTGCCCCGGGGGTGGCGGCGCGCCCTCCCCAGGAACACGCGGGAAACCCGGGGGCTGCCTGCGGGAGGTGGAGTGCGACCTCGACGGGCTCAGCAGAGCCCGGGGCTTGTGACACACGGGTTCCGTGACCCTCCTGGGACCACGTCTAAGGCTCCAGGCGGCCCAGGTCCCGGGCGACCGGCGGGGAAGGGGGACGGGTCTCTGAGGGAGGCAGAGGGCCGGGAGGAGAGATGGGGCCAGGGGCTGGGAGTGCGAGGCCGGACGGCGGCCCAGGGCCCGGGGTGGGGTCGCGGGCGGGGAGAGGCGAGGGTGCGGGGACCCAGGCCGCGAGGCCGGGCAGGGGCGCGGGGCGGGAGCGGAGGCGGGGACGCCGGGGTCGGGGGCGGCGCGGGGTTGAGGGGAGGGGGCGGGGCGGGTCCTTTCTCGGTTGGGGGGAGGCGGGGAGGGGGCGGGGGCCCATGTGACCGGCTCAGACCGGTTCTGGAGACAAAAGGGGCCGCAGCGGCCGGAGCGGGACGGGCCCGGCGCGGGAGGGAGCGAAGCAGCGCAGGCAGCGAGCGAGTGAGCGCGCGGGGCGCGGAGGGCGCGCGGCGGCCGTGGCCCGTCTCCGGCTCGGTCGCTGCCACCCCGGGGGCTGAGGCGGGATTGGGGGTCCGAGCCGCGTCCCGGGCTCTCGGTGACGCCAGGGGACAGACACATTCGGAGACGCGACCTGGCCAACGGGAGGGGCCCGCTCCAAGTCCTCCCTCTGCAGCCCTGTTAGCGGCCCGGAGAACCGAACACATGGGGTGGGAGGTCCCTGCACGCGGCCCCCAGTAGTGGGGAAGGGGACCGGCGAGGGACTCTGACCCCTGCTCTTCCACCAGGATGCAGCACCGTGGCTTCCTCCTCCTCGCCCTTCTCGCGCTGCTGGCGCTCACCTCCGCGGTGGCCAAAAAGAAAGGTGATGGCGGGGGCGGGCAGGTGAAGCCGGGACCGGCCGCCGGGTTTCCGAGCTCGGAAACCTCCGAGGAAGTCTCCGGTGACCCGCGTCCTGAACTCTGTCCCCTGCGCGTTGTAGATAAAGTGAAGAAGGGCGTCCCAGGGAGCGAGTGCGCAGAGTGGACCTGGGGACCCTGCACCCCCAGCAGCAAGGACTGCGGCGTGGGTTTCCGCGAGGGCACCTGCGGGGCCCAGACCCAGCGCATCCGGTGCAGGGTGCCTTGCAACTGGAAGAAGGAGTTTGGAGGTGAGGTGGGGCGCAGGCGGAGGGCAGGAAAGGGGGGCACAGTTTCACTGAACCCCGGGTAGGGCCGTGGAGAGAGGCCACCAGCCGCCCCAGCTCTAACCCGGGCCACTCTCGCGCCAGCCGACTGCAAATACAAGTTTGAGAGCTGGGGGGCGTGTGATGGGGGCACAGGCACCAAAGCCCGCCAAGGCACCTTGAAGAAGGCTCGGTACAATGCCCAGTGCCAGGAGACCATCCGCGTGACCAAGCCCTGTACTCCCAAGACCAAAGCCAAGGCCAAAGGTCAGTGAAGGGAGTTCGGTGAGGCTGTCGTGGGGGCTACCCTCCACCTGAAATTTTGGGCCCTGGCGCGTAAGGACAAGAGGGAGGGCCACTGAGCTGCTCAGGAGATACTAAGTGATCTCTGGCTGGAGGAGGGACCAACTCATTGTTCGGTTGAAACATTTAGTTTAGGACCCAGGGAACACTTGTCTTTGTTATCTCTCCAGCCAGAGGGATTCTTTGGTCCCCTCTGCCCCTTTCTGGTTGAGGAAGGACTTTTCAGTGGAAAGGTCTCTCTTACTTAGCTCATTCCTGACTCACAACAGTCCAGACAGGCCAATGGGCAGAAGTAAAGCTGCGCTTCCCAGGTGAGGAGGCTGAAGCTGTTACTCAGGGCTTCTAAGACCCGGCCTGGGACAAGGGACTTGAAAGTTTTTTTTTTAATTTATTTTTAATTTTTCGGTGGACACATCTTTGTTTTATTTGTAAAACAAAGGTGCTGAGGATCGAACCCAGCGCCCCGCGCATGCCAGGCGCCGCGGGACTTGGAAGTTTTTTGATCCTGGTGAAAATATAAAGTTGAGGGAGTAGGGAACATCTGGCATCATAATGGCTGCCCTGTCCCACCTACTTCCAGGTCAGCTGGTGGAAGACCACTAGGGGGCAGGATTTTCTCTCTGATGTGGGGCGGGGGGTCTCTCCTGAGCACTGTAACTGGGCTAATGTGTTTCTTTCTTGTTTTACAGCCAAGAAAGGGAAAGGAAAAGACTGAGGCCAGGTCGGGAAGCCAAGGAGCCCCTGGCCTTACCCAGGGCCAGGCCTGCACCCTTCCCTCCCACAGGCCCAGGATGTAACCTACCAGTGCCTTTGTCTGCTTGTTAGCTTTATCAATCATGCCCTGCTTTTGTCTTTGACTCCCCACCCGACTCCAAGTGCCCCAAGTGGGGAGGGACAAGATTCTGGGAAGCTTGAGCCTCTCCCCAAAGGGATTTGATTCCCAATACCCGCTTTGTTCTTCCCCACCACGATACCTGTTACTGAGAAATAAATAAAATGAATCGACTTCTTTTTTTCCCGAATAAAAGCTTTTTTTTTTAAATATATAAAAGCCCCTTCCCAGGGAGTTTGCTGTGCAGCTTTGTTTGTGGGTGGAAAAGTGGGCGAAGACAGGCGGTAGGGATTGATGGACTGAAGGGAACTGGTGGCTTGGTGGTGAGTACTCCCCAGAGCCCATGGAAACAGCATGAAAGGGTCCCCCATCAAACCCAGTCCTCATTTGTTCCAATAACCACACCAGGGCTGGGGAAGAAAACCAGGATGACTCACTAGAAGGAAGCCTCACCAGGTCAAAGGTCTTTTGGTCCAGCCCACTACCCATCAAAGGGCTCTGCCCATTGGTCCAGCCCACTACCCATCAAAGGGGAAGGTAGAGATGGAGGGTGCTTGCCTGCTTCACCCTGCACTGACATTGAAGCCTGCGTGGGTCACCAACTATACCCCCTTTCTGTCTCCCTTGGGCCCACATCTCCTTCAAGGCAGAGGCAGAGTGGAGAAGATGGTAGGGCACTGCCCACTGCAGCCCCCCCCCCCTTTGGTGTGTGACCCAGGATGGGCCCTCTCCTGGGGGAGGGAAGTCCATCAGCTTTAGGCTAACCTGGGGTCAACGCTGGACCACAGAAGCCTAGACTTCAGTTCCTGAGTGAATCCCTGACCTCCCAGCTGCCCCACCCTGAAGTGACAAGGACAGTGCTATAGGGGAAAGGGAGGTGCCTCATAGCACTCAGCCTAGCCTGGCCTGCTCCCCCATGCACGTAGCCACCCAGAGCCCTGGTTGAGCAGCTGCAGGAGGGAAAATTCTGCCCCTGGAGTGGGGTTTTGGGGGGAGGAGCTGAGCCTACATGCAGGGTGCAGGGAGGCGGAAAGCACCAATTACAGCAGAATGGGGGACCCCACCCTTCTACCCTTCCAAGACTGGCCCCTTTGCACCTCTGGAGACACTCCTGGCCTCTGCCCCCTTCCGGGTGTCCATTCTCTTGTGATGCTCCTACGAGGGGGCAGCTGCTCACCCGGGCCAGTGCCCCCCAGCTCCCTGAGGAGGGCGACAGACATGGGCCAGGTGGTCCCAGTTCAGAGGCTGAGCCCCCTCGGCCTGAGCCGGGATCTGGTCTCTGAATCCAAACAGAGCCTCTTCCTCGCAGTGTGGCGGAGAGCTCAGTTCTCCTCTTCAGCAAATGCGAGCACGGAATGGGGCCTCCTAGTCTCTTCCCCACAGCAGGTGAGCCATGTGGTCCCCCAGCACACGTGCCACACCAGCACCTCCTAGGGCACGCCTACCTGCCTACCTGGCAGTTCCGATGTTCCGGTACTGGCAGAGCAACAGGTGCCGGAAGGTCTTTTTAAAGGTGGCGTTGCAGAGCGCGTAGCAGGCGGGGTTGATGGTGCTGTTGACGTAGCAGAGCCAGTAGCCGATGGACCACACTGTGTCAGGGATGCAGCTCTGGCAGAAGGTGTTCACCAGGACCATGACATTGTAGGGTGTCCAGGTGAGGATGAAGGCCAGCAGGATGGCAAAGATGGTCCTCGTCACTTTGCGCTCCCGGGCTGCCATCTGCCGCTTCTTGCGCACCTGGTTGCGAGCGATGCTGGCAAACTTGCGGGCCACGTTGGCTGCCGGACGCATGCCAGCTGGAGTGGCAGGTACAATCTCGATTGCTGTCACACACTCATTGCCTGTCTGCTTCGTCACAATCTGGATTTTGGACCATTTGGAGGTGGGGTTGAGGGTCCGTGCCTGCAGGTTAGGGGCAGGCATGGCAGGCGTGGTGGCCTCTGTGGTAGACAGCTCTGTGGGTGGTCGTTCCTTGGTGTTCTGGGTGGCACTGCCTGAGCTAGACTCATTGGAGGTGTCCTTGTCAGCCATGGGGCGTGGTGGCGGTGGCAGGGCTGGAGGAGGGGCCTCCTCTAGCTTCCCGTTTCTCAGCTCCTCCCGAGCTGCTCCTCCTGGTGGGGGTTTCTTGACACTCTGCTTCATCAGGGGGCTCTTGAGGAAGGCCAGAGTCTTGGCCTTCTTCTCCTTGGGGCCTTCAGGCCGGTGCTTGTGAACTCGGCTGCGACTGGCCAGAGAGATGTGGATGTAGAGCACCGTCATGATGACCACGGGCAGGTAGAAGGCAGCAATGGCTGTGCCAAAGGTCACTGCTGGGTTGGACAGGAACTGGATGAAGCACTGGTTGTCCGGCACTGTCCTCTTGCCCACCACGAACTGCCAGAACAAGATGGCAGGGGCCCAGAGAACGAAGGACAGGACCCAGGCAGCAGCAATCATGAGGCCCGCCATCTTGGTGGTACGACGGGCGGGGTAGGTGAGGGGCTTGGTGACGCAGAAGTATCGGTCAAAGCTGATGATGAGAAGGTTCATGACCGACGCATTGCTCACTACGTAGTCCAGAGCCAGCCACAGGTCACAGACCACAGCCCCCAGGGGCCAGTAGCCCTTGATGATGTACACGGTGTAGAGGTTCATGGAGAAGGCGCCTATGATGAGGTCGGCGCAGGCCAGGCTGAACAGGAAGTAGTTGTTGACGGTCTGCAGCTGCCTGTTGACCTTGATGGACAGCATCACCAGGATGTTGCCCACAACAGTCACCAGGCTCAGTGAGCCTGTCACTGTGGCGATGAATACCATCTCCACGGTCTCATAGCGGTTATTAGTTGATGTGACCAGGCGCACAGACTGGTTGCCCGAGCTGCCATTGACTGGTGTGAAGTTCGCCATGTTGGTTAGTAGCAGTGGGGTGGCTGGGGAAGGAAGGAAAGATAAGGGATGAACTGTTGAAGAGGCTGGGGGTGGAATGAAGAGAGAAACTGGTGTCAAGGTGATGGAGGAAAAACACCTGGCAGAACATAAGTGAGCTCTGCCATTCCTCGTGTGCTCATTCACTCAACATTTACTGTGGGCCTTCTTGGCGCCAAGCGCCATTCCAGGTGCATGACACACACGGTCCCCATCTCAGCCTGTATAATCTATTGGGGGGCAGGGAGACGTGGGCAACAGCAACAAATGCTAGAAAGGAAACAAGGCAGGGTGTCCCAGAGTGAGGGACAGGGATGGTTCCTTGCTAAGTGACCAGGAGAGGCCTCCCTCAGGAGATGAAGAGGGTGCTGACAGCCTGCAGCCACAGGAGGCGCTGTAGAGGCCAATCCTGCCAAGGACTATGGCCTGAGCACAGGCTGGAGGCAGGTGGTGAGCACAGACGGCGCCAGTGCGGCTGGTGCCCAGGGAAACCAGGGGGAGGGAGAGGATGTCCAATGAGTGGCACTAGAGGCTGTGCGTGTGGTCTGCTGAGAGGTGCTCATTCATACACGTGGTCATTTTCTTTTCATTTTTTGTTTGTGCTGGGGGTCAAACCCGGGGCCTTGGCACATTCTACACTGGAGACCAAAGCACTAATACGAGGAGAGTATACATCACCTCCCCAACCAATATTTATTGTCTACCAAACACGTTTAATAATAAAAGTATTAACTCATGACATTCTCACAATAAATGTAGGAGGCAGTTATTTTTCACTATCTACACATGGGGAAACTGGCACGGAGATGTCAAATAACCTAACCAAGACTTGGAAACCCCTTGATGTCCTGTTGTTGGAGACGTGCCTGTGAGATGAGCTGAGAGCTGTCCCATAACTCAGGATTCTAGCAGAGGGAAGCCAGAGTCACCAGAGCCGGTGATTCCAAGGGAGTGTGTGTGCGGGGTAGGGGGGATCCCAGAGGACGAGAGGAGATGAGGAGGAGCCGGGCACTTCCAGGAGGAGGAGCAGCAGCTGTGCAGAAGAGCCTCAGTATTCCCTCCCTGACCCTCACCTCCAGCCCAAGGCACGGGGAGCTAGCGCAGGGGTAGCTGGCGCTCAAAGCCCCAGGAGTCAGAAGCCTAAAGGATCCATCAGCCCAGGATCAACACGTGACTTCCCCAGGGCCAAGGCCAGCCCTAAGGCTGGGCCGGGAAGGCAAAATAGAAAAGGATTATCTCAGGGAGCCCCTCCCACACCCAATGCAGAGGCTGCCCCAGCTGGGGTCTCCCAAGCCCCAGGCCCCTGCCCTGAGCCTGCGCTCCCTCCCACCAGCCTCTCCTCAGCTCTCCTCCTCCTCTTCCTCTTCCATACATGTGAGGGAGGCCCACGCCCAGCTTGCTGTGCCAGGGCAGCCGCTCAGCCCAGCCTCCTTAACACCCGCCAACACACACACCATTCCACATACGCACACGGCCCCATCTCAGCCACACGCAGGTCGTATACGCAGTTCTGTGCGTCTGTGTGTGTGAAAGAGGAAGAGCGGGCGTGGCAGCCGGGTGTGGAGGAAGACGCACTCACCCTGCAGCCTGCTTGCTAGAAGCCCAGCGGGGTAGGTAGAGGGCAGCCAGAGGGATGCCACCTCGCCTTCCTGCACCTCCTTTCTCATTTGCTGAACAGGATCCTGCCCTGAGACAACCTCCTGAACAGCTTTGGGACTGGCCCCTCAACTTCCTCTCCAGCCTGGAAATGGCACTGAGGGCTGGAGCCCAGCACCAGGGTGTCCCCCAAGCCTGGCCCCAGTGCCCTACTTCACCATCACAGACACAGACCCAGCCTCATGGCCTCAGACTTCAAGTCCTCCAGTTCCAAATCCTTGGTTGACAAGAGGAAAGGCTGAGGGAGGTAATGCCACCCCCAAGGTCACTCAAGGAATCAAGGGCAAAGGGCAAAGAAGGCCTTGGCCCAAGAGTCTGACAGCTTCGTTCAGCTCTGAGAGCCTCTGAACTAGATCCTCAGGTGTCACCCTCTGAATTGGAAGGGCAGTAGCACCCAGCACATTGAGGCTGCCCAACCCAGGCACATGCCCATGAGAACAGGGTGGGCAAGAATGATCCAGTCAGCCTCCAGGAAATCCTCACACTGGCATCATAGGGTCAGGACACGGGCCAGCAGGGCGTAAGGAGTAAGGGGGCTAGATGTGCCAAATATGAAATGAAAACAGCTCTTGTTTATTGAGTGTCAACGTGACACAGGAACCCCTCTGAGCTTTTTATATAGATTATCTGGTTTATGCTTCTTACAACAGCCCAATATATCCAGGT